AGTGATTTCTTGCTTATTTTTGGTGGGTTACTGCAGGAAGGGGGCAAGAAATGACATAGGAGGGCAATGTACTTTTTTTTAACTTGTATGCCCACTGAGACATCTTTAACTGGAAGATAGGACTTGATTGTGAAATGTTTTTGTATATATGCAAAAGTCGTATCATTTGCCCCCAATTAATAACAAGCCCCAGAAACCCTCCATGAATCACTTCTGCTTTTGAGTTCCCTACCAGAAGATAAAAAAAAAAACCAAGAGAATAACTGGTGTACTTTCCTAGTTCCAGAAAACTTCTGTGGCTCTCAGACGTGGCAGCTCAGGATGTTTAGGGTCCTAAGAAACCATCAGCACGTGTGTCTGCGGCTGTTAACGTGTCGTCACTGGCAAGAGGGAAAGGGCACTAAAAGTACCAGGCCTGCATACCTGTTGGTGACATTGGGTTTCTTTGGTCAGAGTGTTAACTGATTAAAACCAGATTATTAACCGTAATTGATTTATATAGGCAAATGCCATAGAACTTGCTATATTGTTATTAGTGAATTCTGAATTCATTGTAGCATTGACATTTTAGGATGACGTCCGCTTGTTAAATGTTTGTCTTTGGAAATAGTTTGAAAAATATGGTCCTTGTGTAAATCCAACCTCATCTCTGAAGTATTTCCGAGTTCTTTGATTTAGAACTTTTCCTGACAGTTTGCCACTAAAATCAGAAGCTGTGACGTGTGCTCGAGAAATCCCCATACCTTTTCATCTCATAGACCCTGAATTCTTTCTCTAGATGGTTTCTCTAAGCCTGTATTTACTGTTTCAACTTCCTGTCAGAGTGATCCCATCTAGCCCTGTGTCTTCTGTCTACAGAGTTCAAATTTGCCTTATTCCTCCAGAATATATTTTATTTGTGCTACATTATTTGTACCTCAAATTCTATGTCTTCAGAACAGTCATTTTTCAAACTGTGTCCACCTCCTTTCTTCTCAATGGCTTTTCAGTGATATCCTTTGGTTACTGAGGTGTAATCTCCAGCAATTATAAACTTTTCCCTCTCTTCTTATCCTCTTGATCCATGGAGTCACTGAAACCTTTTAATTCTTCATTAGTTCTTTTGTCCTCCACCTTCTCTCTTCCAGGCCTTCCCAGGTGGCGCTGAAAGTTAGTCGCTCCGTCGTGTCCGACTCTTTGCTACCTCATGGACAAGAATACTGGAGTGGATTGTTATGCTCATCTCCAGGGGGTCTTCCCAACCCAGGGCTTGAACCCAGGGCTTCCCTGGTGGCTAAGATAGTGAAGATTCTGAGTGCAATGTGGGAGACCTGGGTTTGATCCCTGGGTGGGAAAGATCCCTGGAGAAAGGAATGGCTACCCACCCCAGTATTCTTGCCTGGAGAATTCCAGTGACAGAGGAGCCTGGCAGGCCACAGTCCATGGGGTCACAGAGAGTTGGTCATGACTGAGTGACTTTCACCTCACTCCTGCATTGCAGGAAGATTTTTTTTTTTTTTCCACTAAACTATCCAGGAGGCACTAGTGGTAAAGAATTCCACGCCAGAGATGTCAGTTTGATCCCTGGATCAGGAAGATCCTCTGGAGTAGGAAATCACAACTCACTCCAGTATTCTTGCCTGAAAAATTCCATGGACAGAGCAGTCTGGTGGGCTGCAGTCCATGGGGTCACAGAGAGTTGGACACGATTGAGCGCACATAACACACACACACACACACCCTCTTACAACTTTGTCCTTGCTGCCTACACACACACACCCTCTTACAACTTTGTCCTTGCTGCCTCCCTGGTCTGAAACTGTATAGTATCGATTGCTAAAATTTACTATGGATTACTTTAACAGTCTTCTGTTAGTCCCTAAGACACAAGTGTTCAATTGTCTTCCCTGTGTAGCTTTCTGACTAAAGCCCATATTTTATGCTTCACTCCTGATGTAAAACTCATGGTAGTAGGTTAAGGCCCAGACCCCTCAATCAACTCATTTTCACTGGTCCTCACCAGCATTTGCCTTTTAACAGCTTCTATTCTGCACCAAGACTTTTTTTTTTAAGCTCAGTGTCGTAACTTCTCACATCAGGCTCATTCTTAACTTCTTTTTGCCCAATTCTTTGGAATGGCCTTCACCCATATTTTCACTCCTGTATCTTTCATCCCATCATTATGAGCTTGCCCTTCTCCTTCATACATACCCCTCACTTAAAGACTTATAACCTGTGTTTTTTTTTTTTTTTTTCTCTCATTTCCTGCCCTGGATGAACACTTTTAACTGTCCATCTTTTGTTTCCATTTTTTGTTTTCCATTGTTCTATTTCTGTTTGGTATCTTCCATTTAATTGGTTTTTAACTTTCTAGGGGCAAGTGTTGTTACTTAACATTGCTATGCCCACTCAGTGTGCTGGATACAATAGGCACAAAATCTCAGAAAATGTGGAGTGACTCCGTGGTCAAAACCTGGAAGTCAACATAAGTACAGCTGTGCCAGGAATGTGGAGTTATTGACGGAGCAGAATTCATATATGTGTGTGCAGACGCAAGGTGGTGTGATTATGGGGGGATGTTTGGGGTGTTTGCTGCTAGTGTCTTCTGTTCTGGAATAGCAGCGCTCTGCCAGCACTTCTCATGACCTTCAAAGTTTAACTGGCGACAGTGAGATGTGTTTCCATAATAGGTCTTTACAAATAAGACCCTGTTTGGTCATATTTGTTTAGTCACATATATTTTTAATAGGTCTTCTGTTTATTCACTTAGGGATATTTGTTGGTCTGTCTTGTCTGTAAAAGCTTACTAAGATAGAGTTGCTTTTTGACTGTCACCTCTGTCCTCCTGTGATCTCTCCAAGAACCTTAGTCATCTGAACACACACGGTTGCCTAAGGATAGGGGTTAAATCAACGTCTTTTGCATCCTTGCGTCATACCTTGCTGCCTTCCTACCTTGTCACCCCTACCGGGCTCCCTCATCTGGAGTTTCAGATGCTGCCCGCTCTAAGCTATTTCCACATTTTGCCCAGTACCAGCCGTGACAAACCACAGGCTGCAGGGGAGAGCTGCTGGCATTCCACCATAGCGCACTGTGTACCGAGCATTCTGGTGAAAAGGTATATAGTAGCTATAGGTGTAGGGCACAAATGAGTCGTGTGTGTGTGTGTGTGTGTGTGTGTGAGATTAGGGTACATTCTTCTCCAGGTAAATCTCTTTTTCTTTTTTGTCTTTCCCCAGGGATCCATATTGGTAAATATACTGGTTTCTCTTTGTAGGATTTGCATTCAGTGCTTTAGGAGTGTCTAACTTGACGTTCTCCGTAAGTTTAAAAAGTGTGCTTTCTTTTCCATCATTGGATCATCCTGGGTCATCAGTGAGCTTCCTTAACTGACTCTGACTCATCAGCCATATCTCCATGGCTGAGAGATAGATAGTCTGTTGTCCATTTTACTAGATGTCCTTAAAACTTAACAGAACCCAGGAAATGGCTGATGGTAAGATTTCCTCCTGCTTGTAGAACATTTCTAATTTCCTTTTAAGTGCTGCCAGTGCAAGGTTTTTCTTAGGAGTGGGTGGTATGACTATAGTTCAGAAATGTTGTTTTCAGGATATTGAAATGTTAGGAGCCTCTTTTGGATCTCTTACCTACGGATAGATCAGGAGGAAGAAGATGGAAAGAGCGCATTATGGATAACTTTTTCAAATATTTTTGACATTCCGGGTTTTAGATCCCAGCATTCCATTGCTTCTGACTGTCACCTCTGGTCTGACCCACCAGTACCTTAAACTGAATATAGCCAGAGACAAATTCATTCTGTCTGCTCTGCTATAACCTTTTCCTTTGAGTTTTGTACTTCAAAGATCGTTGTTGTCATTTACCTGTCCCTCCCATGCCCTACCAATCACTCATGCCTTATTTAAGTAACTTACCATGTGCACCAAATATTTTTCTAATCCATCACCATTTTCCCGTTCTTACATCTGGCCTTCATCATCTTCAGCCTTGGCTAGCTGAAGCACTTTTTGCTAGGCTACGTAGTCTACTGTGAATACCCCACCCTGCTCCCACCCTCCTGAACTAGATCTCATTGAGTTACTCCCCTGATTGAGGGAAGAGCACATTTAGCTTTCTACCATTCCATGGTTTATCTCCTTTCCAAAATACTCCCACACCTGCATCCATTAATGTCTTTGATTTGATGGTCTGGTCCCTGAGTCAGTCCTGACTGATCCATGCTGTAGGTCCATGTTTTCCATCTCAACTCTTTTCCATCCAGTGAGTGCTTAAAATTAAGCACCTGTCCTACACCAGAAATTTGATGATGTGAGGGTGACCTCTTGAGTTGCTATCTCTCTCCTATCATCCCTACTGCTATTCATGGCCAATTCCCATCCCCACGTATCATCATTTGGTGGCTCTGTTTTGCAATTCTTTCTCCCATCTTGTTTTGACCTAGTCTGGGGTTTCCCAGAGTCTTATTACCTAAATTTTGACTAGCTGCATGCATGCATGCTCAGTAGTTCAGTTGTGTCCAAATCTTTGTGACCCCATGGACTGTAGCCCACCAGGCTCCTCTGTCTATGGATTCTCTAGGCAAGAATACTGGAGTGGGTTGCCATTGCCTCCTCCAGGGGATCTTCCTGACCCAGGGATCGAACCTGTGTCTCTTACATCTCCTGCATTAGCAGGCGAGTTCTTTACCACTGAGCTACCTGGGAAGCCCCTTTGAATAGTTACTCAGGTTAATAATCTAGACTTTCTCTAAGGCATCAGCTTGGACCTCAACTTCTTGCTTATTTAGGTACCTCTCATCTGAATTACTCCTACCAAGACTGGTGATTGCCACAACCAGGAGCTCCTGGGTTGGCGGGTGGGGAGCTCTTTGCTCACTGTTTCCATTTCCTTTGGTTATAACAAATCACCACAAACTTGGTGACTTAAAGCAACAAATGTAAGTGTTCACAGGGCCATGCTTTTGCCAGAAGCCTAGCAGATAATCTCTCTCTTGTATTTCCTAGATTCCGGTGTCTGCTGACATCCCTTGGCTTGTGTCTGCATCACTCCAGCAGCTACCTGACTCCAGTAGTCACGTGATCTCCCCTCTTCTCCCTCTATCCTCCTCTTATAAGGGTATTTGTGATTGCTTTTAGGACTCAACTGGATAATCCAGAATAATCTATTTTAAGATTCCTAATTTAATCATATCTGCAGAGTCTTTGCCATAGAAGGTAGCATTTTCAGGTCCCAGGGCTAAGGGCCAGTTATCTTTGGAGGTCATTATTCATACTGTTTATTTATTTAAGAGTGTTGGCTGTGCTTGGTTTTCATTGCCGTGCACAGGCCTTCTCTAGTTGGCAGTGCACGGGCTTCTCTGGTTGCAGAGCACAGGCTACAGGTTGCTTGGGCGTCGCTGCTCTGCAGCCTGTGGACTCTTCCCAGAGCAGGGATCTAACCTATGACCCCTGCATTTGCAGGTGGAATCTTAACCCCTGGACCACAAGGAAAGTAATTTTATTCATACTATGACTCTCTGTTCCCCCCGCCCAATTTGAGTCTGCTCTTTCTCCTGGAAACCTTGGCCCGACCATCGCTGAGTCATGGTTAAGGTTTGCCAAGCTCATTGGCTTCTCTGCCTCCTTATCTGTCTCATCTCCAGCTAGAGAACTGGCCTCAGCACTGCTGTCTGTTTCCCAGGTCTGTCTCATGTCAGGGGCTGGTACCATCTCTGCTGCTGCTACCCATCTTGCCTCAGTGTTACCTTTTGAGTTGTAGACAATACCAAGTCCTTTTTTCAAAATACCATCCATGATGCTCTTCCTCTTCCCCACGGAGACCTTGGAATCCAGGTCTTTCCAGATGGTTCCCATTGTTCCTCACTGAATAAGGGCGTATCCAGACGTGCCCTGAGATGGGGTTGCTGTTTGCTTGTCTAGAACGCTCTTTGCCCTTCTGTGTCCCATGTAGTATTGTTCATTTTATGAGGTTCTGTTCAAGTGTCAGTTTCTCTGGAACTCTCCTGAACCCTGCCCCCCACTCTCTCCATGCAGAATTAATTACTTCTTTCCTCTGTTCTTCTCAGTGCTCTGTTTAGGCTTGATCCTAACCCTTAACACATTGTCTTCCACTTTATTGTGTCTCTGTCTCCTGGCAAGACGTTAAGGTTCATGAGAGCCAGGAATAAGACATTATTTATCTCTTTTATTTTAACCTGACACATGGCCCACAGTAAGTGCTGGATATGATACTAATAATAAATATGTGTTAAATCAACTCAAATTTTGAATTTTCCACCATTCAGAATATCTTAGTGTATAAATGTTTATAACTTTTCTCCCAATTTTCTTATGAACCCCGAATTGTTTTTCATAGAAGACTATGTATAGTCCCTTTTGTTTTTTATTTCCATTACAAACGGATTAAAAATACTCTCTGTATTCTGTATTTAAATTTCAACCCAAGGACATCATTACATCTACTCCTTTATGGAATCAGTTTACTTTGAGATTTTAGTAAAATTGAAAGTGAAAGTCGCTACAGTTGTGTCTGACTCTTTTTGACCCCATGGACTGCCCATGGAATTCTCCAGGCCAGAATATTGGAGTGGGTTGCCTTTCTCTTCTCCAGGGGATCTTCTCAACCCAGGGATTGAACGCAGATCTTCCACGTTGCATGCGGATTCTTTACCAGCTGGGCCATAAGGGAAGCCCGAGGCAGGAGACCCAGGTTCGATTCCTGGGTCGGGAAGATCCGCTGGAGAAGGGACAGGCTCCCCACTCCAGTATTCTTGGGCTTCCCTTGTGGCTCAGCTGGTAAAGAATCCGCCTGCAATGTGGGAGATCTGGGTTCGATCCCTCGGTTGGGAAGAACTCCTGGAGAAAGGAAAGGCTACCCATTCCAGTATTCTGGCCTGGAGAATTCCATGGACTATAGTCCATGGGGTCGCAGAGAGTCAGACATGACTGAGCAACTTTTACTCATTTTACTAAAACTGAATAACTACTATGTAATGTTGTTTAATTGTCCTCTTATTGATTGAACTTAAATCAAGAACGTGGAATTCTACTTGTCAGGATTGCTTCTTTTGTCTTACTTTGTTAAAACAGAACTGTTGTGGTTTTTTTTTTCCCCCCTCCCATTTCTCTGAATATTTTGTTTTTCCTGAGTGGATCTGATTTTATTTTCCCCACCTTTTCATTAGAAGCTGGGGGGCTGAGTTGCCCACTGCCTCCTCGATCTTAAATATTCTGCCCTGTGAGGTATCAGCCATGTTGCATTGCTGGTCTGTTTCCTATTTCTATAGCCTTGAGCCCCTTAGGAGTTGTGTAGAGGGTGCTGGTATTTTATTAAATTGCATGTCTTATATTTATGAGAAACTCAAAGGGCTTTGAGGATTTCCCTTCTTGGTATCTAATCTTCTAACAGCTCTCTGAGGTAGGGAGTGTGAAGTGTTATCTCCATTTTGCAGATGTTATAACAGAGGCATAGCACAACTTGATGTAGGCCCCATAGCAAATCACAGACTCAGTGGAAAATGTCTCCAGGTCTTTTCAACTTCCATTTCTGTGATCTAGATGCCAGATGACTTAATTTTAATTTTTAACACTACCACCCATTTTGGTTTTTGCATGAAATACTGTTGTCAGCACTTATAGAGTTGTCAGTGCTCCAATTTTAGTACTTTTCTAAATCTACAATTATCTTTTCTTTTTGGTTAACATGGACACACGTGTGTGTATGTTTTTAATAAAAATATTCACACATGTATGTATGTATTTTTCTTTCAAAAGAATTGATATACAAAATTAGGTTCTGCAAAAATGTTACTTGGTCTGGTGACTGCATGCAAAAATGAGATTTCAGTACCAGCTTATCTGATACTTTTGACTAACTTTCTTGTCAGTTAAGCATATTTAAGAGATATCAGCCATAGACATGAAAACAGTAAAAAAATATGACCTATGACAAGAAATACGATAAAATTGGATGGCAAGTACTCATTAGTAAGTAAATATTTTTTATTCTAATAGTTTTTCCTTGCAAATGACAATATCCCCAAAGTGAGCCCCTACTGTTGCTTTCATATCCTTTTCCTCAAAAGTTAATTTTTTTTTTTTCACTCGGGATAGTTAATACTTTTTTTTTTAATTTAAAATTTTACTGCAGCTATACTTAAAATGAACAGCCAACAAGGACCTACTGTGTAGCACAAAACTCTGCCCAGTAGTATGTAACAGCTTAAATGGGACAAGAATTTGAAAAAGAATTCAATACATGTGTATGTAGAACCGAATCACTTTGCTATATACCTGAAACTATCACAACATCATTAATCAACTATACTCCAACATAACATAAAAAGTTAAAAAAAAATCAAAATGGAAAAAAAAAATGTTACTGCAGCTGTAAGTACTTGATCAGATTTGCCTGAGTCTTTAAAGGGACTGTCTCAAGAGGCCTTGTCTGCGGTGTAGAGTGTGTGGCAAGCCTTCTGTCTCCTTGCTGACTGTCTTTGGAATGCCCCTCTCTTCGGCCAAGTGGCATTAATTATCCTCTTGGTCTGCGAGCACTGAGCACTGCGTGGCAGGGAAGTTTCCCCACAGTTGTTGTTGTCTCTGAGGCCCAGTTTCAGCTTATTGCTGTGAAGCGGTGGTGAGGCAGGCTCAGCTGCCTTCAGAAGCAGCCTGGAGACCTCTGTGCGCCTTCCCTAAGCTGGGAGCGGGGATTTAGAGCACCTGGTGAGGGGCTGCAGCTTGCCAGCCTCCACTTGGGCAGGCAGGCAGCCTCCCTTCCCACCCCCACACTTCTGAGCACCACCCAGCTGCAGCGTCTTTGCCTTGAAACCATTTGGAGCGGCTGGAGCCGAGGCCACCCAGAGCTTCTGTGAGCAGCTGTGGCTGCGACGCTCCTATTGGCCAAGGCGGAGAAGGTTCTCACTTATCTACACTGCACACGGGTGGCCGTGATCCCTTAGGACAATGCAATTTCTCACTGTCTGGGGGTGGAAGCTATTGTCCTCCTCTCCAGCTTGTTGTCTGAAGTCTTTTTGTAAGGCTTCCGGCTTTTGCTGACTCACAACACTCTCTCTCTCTCTCTCTCCTCTCCTTTTTCTTGCCTCTTTCAGCTCCATTTAATGGTATTTGAAATGACAGAGAAGATAGCAAACCTCTCTGTTTGGAGGGTAGGGGAGCTGTGGTGGGGGGTGACAGCTTAAAATTTCATCTCGTTTTCCTCTTCGATTGTGAACTCGTTGCTTTTCTGTCCCCACCTCTGCTGTTTACCTGTTCTGGGCTGAGCCACAATTCTAAAGGTGGCTGGTGTGCAATTCCAGAAGCATTGTTCACGTTGGGGACTCGGCCGCGAGCTAAAGGATGGATGTGTTTTGGTCTCGCACCCTCCGATAGAAAACTGCTGTTTCTAATGAACATCTTAGGAGGGTGGTTTCTTCACCATCCTCTCTCACTTGTGCCGACCTGTAATTAAAATGAATGGAGAACTTGATTCCCACTGCATGCACCTGGGCTCTTCATGGAGCCTCTTAGCAATATGCCCTGAGCGCTGGCTGACAGGTGAGGGATTTCTAAAGCAGAAAATTAAGCTTACTCACAATGCAAGCTTATAGTTTTAGAAACCGCGTGGTGATGAGCTCTGTCATTCGAAGGCTTTGGCAGGCAGCAGTGAACCCTGCAGCCTCACTGACTGAGACAGAAAATGTGGGAAGTCTGCTTTCCTTCTTAATTACCTTTTAAATTATGTTAGCTCCAAGTCAGAACAACAGCTTCAATCCTTCATTGGAGTGATATTTTTTATTGCAGTAAAAAATCATGTTCTTATGTGGTCTTAGAAAATAGGACATTTTGTTAATGGAAGAAAAATTGAACAAGTGTGTGGACAGCATTCCTACCTGGCATGTATAAACTTCTCGTCTTAGTGACATGTACTGGGGGAGCACTTGGAGCTGTTCAAATATATCCTAATCCCTAGCCTTTGTGGGTCACTATTTGTTCAACTAGATAAATGACTTAACTGGTAACACGTGAACCTTCCTCAGTGATACTTTAGACCAAGATCAGGACACAAAAATAGTCTCTGTCCTCTTTTACTGTCATCAGTTCATGAAAATACTGCCAAAG